CATTGCCAGAAAATAACAGGTAATAGCATGCATTAACATGAGATTGTCAATACCATTGACATTGTCATTGTTACAATTGTAATCGGTCAGTTGCAAGTTTTATAACTTTAGGTTACCAAAATCTAAGCGAAACATTGCAAAAATGCAAACATACAGTATAGCAAATATATAATGCAGCCAGGATCACAATCATAAAATATGAAGATATATAGGTGTATGATTGACGGTCATGCATACTAGACCTAACATAAAGTACCTAACATTTAATACAACATACTCATACCAAATCAATATATAAACTCCTCATCTCAATTAAATTGGTTTAGGAAGACTGTATGAAAAACATACATGTGCATAAATTTTGCATCCTGTAGGTTGCAGGTTGTTCTCGTCATGCTTAGAAAATTTATTCAAACCATAGCAATATAGACTCTTCATTGTTTTATCATGAAGTATCAGAAAGCAAGAAGACTTGAAGATATAAACCTTTACAAAAATTTATATTCCTGTTGGCTGCAGTCCATTTGTTCTCATAATTAGAAAAATTCTCTGTTTCAACATAAATTTAGCAAACCTCACGCAGCTAATTGAATTCAACTTTAACAGTCACTCACAGACAAGGTTTCTTTAAAGATCTGATAAAATGGTCGCTCCAAATTGACCTATAGCCAGCATAAAGATCTTGTTTGTATTAATAGTTCATTCAAAAGCTTATATATAGCAAGTGAGATTTCATAATACAATATATTCAAACCATACCAATATAGACTCTTCATTGCTTTATCATGAAGTATCAGAAAGCAAGAAGACTAGAAGATATACACCTTTTCAAAAATTCACATTCTTGTTGGCCGCAGTCCATCATTTGTTCTCATAATTAAATAATTTGTAAACATAAGTTTAGAAAAACTCACAATGGAGCTAAATTGAATTCAACTATGCAATAACAGTCACTCACTGATAAGGTTTCTTTGAAGATCTCATAAAATGGTCACTCCAAATTGACCTAGCCAGCATAAAGATCTTGTTTGTATAGTTCATTCAAAAGCTTAAAGACAGTGAGATTTTATGTACAATATATTAATTGAATGAAACCAAACCAATATACTGCTAATTCATCATGTTAATTTGAAATAATATTCCACTGCATGTCCTGTGTGTAAGACTGGCTTATTCTTACAAGCAGCATAAAATTTACCTTCCTGTACACTGCAGTCTTTTGTTCTCAACATAATTAATATTGGATATTACTTTATTTATTTCTACCATGAATTTAAACCAGAAAAAATAGGGGGAAAATACATTAACTTAGTATTAACTTTTATTAATTGTATTTTTGCATAATAAGGCACAAAGCTAAGGCAGGACTGTCATGAATGTAAGGTGACCAAAGTTTTGCCAAGGCATGTCCTCAAAATTTTCCAAAATCAATCGGGCCCTCTAAGTTTATCAAGCTTAGTTAAAATGCAGGTAGTTCTAAATGTAAAATGGGTAATTATAAAACTTAAAATGGACAGTTCTAAAATCCAGTTTTTGAGCTTTATATGAAAATTAATTATACATTAAGCACCTATACAGGATATTTAAGGCAAAAGTAAATCCAGCTTTCACTCTGTAAATGCATAAAATGACCATTCTGGACTTTTAAAATTCAAAATTTTCCAAGGGATCATTGTCCCAAGGACCCTCCTAGCTAGCTCACAAACAGGACTACTTTAGGAACTCTTTTTTTATAAGATCAGCCAACCTGTGGAACAGTCTTTCATCAGAACTGAAATCTCTAGTAATTAACTCTAGTATATCCATATTTAGAGCCAGGCTACGCGAGTTCTATAATGCTAAATTACCATCATATAGTCCTCCTGGCTGCATCTAAGTAAATTTAATATTATATAATATAGTTGTTTGTTTAATCATATACTGGTATTGATAGGGGTAAAGTGTCAATTGGGACGCAAGTCCTGTTCTTTTCTCCAGTCACGTCTATGTTTAGTGTGTTATCTTGTAAGAATGTTGTGTTAGTGTTGCTTGTTTGCTAGTATACATTTTTTTTTGTATATATCTATATAAAGGTGACGAAATTATTAAATTAAATTAAATTATTGATGTATCCAATACGCCATGGCAAAAATATCTCATTGAAGGGGAGTTTCTGGCGCAGTAATTAATGCATGAACCTTGTCTGCCACATAGTTAGCCTGTGTTCACTACCTCTGTTCTTGTCGAAATGGGCAGTTCTAAAATTTTCTTAGGATGACCCCTGCATAAACATACTATGCAAGTACATAACTGAAGGTTCAGTCTATCTACAGCATAATGTAATGCTGTATATCTGTTTCAGAAAATGCAGGGCATTGCAGTCATAGGGATAGAAAAATACAAATATTTTCTGGGGGAGAATGCCTCCAGACCCCCCCCCCCTCCCTACTATTAAATGCGATACCACACCAAACTTTTTGTTACCAACAAACCATCTATCATTTCTCCACAATCGGTATAGTATGGTCCCTTTTTGTAGATGCCCCCCCCCACCCCACTGACAAATTCTTTAAAAATGTCCTGCTTAGAAACACTAGTCACTAGACATGCAATTATTGTTTACCTACGTCTGCTGATCTGTAGAATTCAGTATAGAACACTATACATTTATCGAGTGTATCTGTAGTATTACATGTTAATTGTTTCAGTGTGGGTATTAAATTGGGAAATTCGAAATATATAAGGCCACTACAAGTTAATCTTTAGTTTCTGGTCCGGCCTTACCTTCGTTTACGACGCGGGCGGGTGGTTAGGACTATAGGACATAATTACAATTGTGGCTTTGCCCACATTTTTGTTGTCTTTCTTGTCCCTTTTCATGCTAATTGTATCAAAATGTTATGAAATTTTACATAAATTGCATTTATATTATTTATAAATCGACATGTATGACAGATTACAAAGGATTTTACATATCAAAATGATCTATTAATATTTTCTAGTTTTTATACCTCGTAATCTCGATAAAACAGCGGTTTTACTACATTTTGCTCTCTAGGTGTTTTTAGTGTAAATTGAATATTTATCGTTCTATAAGTTAAATCCTTCGCGAAAATTTTCAAGAACTAGAAATTAATTGTAAACAACAAAATAGTCCTGAAATAATACATTACGAAGAAAGGACGCAGGCGGCGGACCAGAAACTAAAGATTAACTTGTAGTGGCCTAATAGCTTCAGGTTTCAGGAACTTTACGATACTTCACGTATTTATAGGACACTGTCTTTAAAATATGCGGATGGTATTACGAGAAGTACAGTTTTGACTAGTTTTGAATGTATAAATTTATGCTATTTTACTCACATGTTGCTCGTACTGCGTAACATTTTCTCTTTGTCCCACAGTCGCCAGAAGTCAACAGCACGTTCCCCTCTTTGTGTACGTTCACGAACGACTAGCTTCTATTTTCTTCCTATTTTCGTGCTCGATAATAAATCTCTCCTGCATTTTTCTTTCCCTCTCAGATCTTTTTTCTCTTTCAAACATCCCTGTATATCTCTCTCGCTCTTTCTTGTTTAATTATTTTTCGTCTTTTACGACGAATTCCTCGATCGTGTTCGGCCTGGAAAGCCGACCTAGCTTCGAAAGTATATGCTCGCTCTGTCTCGCTGGTTGCACTGAGATTTCTCCCAGATCGTGACGTATCCCACCATTAGCAAGTGCGCCACTCGCTTTGTGAAATGTCGTGTTAAAATGCGCCATTTCAACCGACTTTACGTAAGCTCATACGACCAGACGAAACAGAGAAAAAGCATATTATTTCTTGAGATTTGCCGTCCTTGCTTCCTGATCGATGATCAAGTGCAAATTCCCGCTAGTGATGGGCGATACCGAGTACTCGGTATTCGATACCAGCGATACCACAAACAGCGGTATCGGTATCGATTACTGACGTGGTATCGTTCGATACTTGCACCCTTTTTTAAACTACTTATTTAATTTCACTTCTTGGTTGAATAAGACTTAATGAACCATTAAAATAACTCTTAATATTCCAAATTCCGTGCGCCAAGTCAGGTATAGAAAATATTTATTCCGTTTAGGGCTTTTGGTTTATTTATAGCTTTATTTAGGTTACATACAGTAATGCAAAATGTTTTTCCGCTGACCGGCAGGTATCGAAAGTAGACGATACTAGGAATTTAAGTACTCACTTCCGGTATCGAAAATTGAAATTTTGTGTATATTTTGGTATCGAAATAGGTATCGGTATCGGCCGATACCGATCTTAAAAGTATCGGTATCGGTATCGAATTGAAAATCCTGGTATCGCCCAACACTAATTCCCGCGCGCGCGCGCTTTGTTTACATCATTGAACTATAAATAAACTTTATTTATAGTTCAATGGTTTACATATTGCTGCACAAATATTACCTTCCCCTCCCTCCCTCGGGCACGTCAAACAATTGTCTGTTCGCTTGCTGTATATTTTGCAGTACTGGAATGGAAAATGTTGACCAAATATAACTGTTATTTCTATCTGCAGTTGTGCAAGTAACGTCAATTTTACGGATGATGGTATATTACTAATATTAGTGTTCTACTGAGCGAAATTTTTGGCCAGATGTTGCTCGTCGAAACCAGTTTAGACCCCGTGAAAGTATACGTGTAATTTGAGTTATTTGGCAAACAGGATGGCATTCCCGTTGTGCGTATAGGTATACTCGTCCAGTCGGAAGATATTTCGTTAATTCCCACTCAATTTTGGATTTTTATGATGAGGTTTAACCGTCACTATCGTTCAAGGTTCACAAACAGGGTTTTCGTCCATCCGAAGTACATTTGAGTTACTGAGCTAAACTTCAGCAAGTCTCGTATTGTAATATAAATATGGCTGTGTCGTTATTTGACCAATATGTCCTGTTTATATACTACAAAACGTCGGCCAGGAGAACAGGCTCTTACGAGAACAGTTAATATTAAAGACGACTATAAACGAGACGAAGTTGTCCATCGAAGATATGAAGGTTGATAAAATGGAAAATTTGTCAAACAGAACCGCGAGACACGTTGCCAAAGCTATGCAGGGTAAGCATTTGTACTTATATCTGATAAATTGTGAATACATGTCATTTGGTATAGAACGCTCTGATTTAATGAAAGTTTAGGCTCCTAAAATAATTGCGCCAAATATTCAAAGGCTAATTCAAGATTGCTGAACTCAGTCATAGATGCTGTTTAATAATTTATTACATGCAAATCACTGCTAAAAATACTACAGTATATACCCCATTTACTGTATAAATATTATAGAACCCTTGTCTTTGCCCTTGGCAGGCAAAACGTGCAAGTTATGTTTACGCAATATATTTCTGATCTGCACTGTTGTGTTATGCCTGACTCAGGGAGGACAGGCATACCTAGGGGAATTTGACAGTTTCAATTTTGCTACTGTATGTATGACAATAAGCTCCACTGCAGAGCACCACTTTTTAGTCAATCTTTGTCAAATTTTCCCCTATTAAGAAATTTCAAGTTGTGAGAACTCGAGTCAATTCCTGTGTATGCCATCCTTCCCCAGGCGGACAAAACATTGCTTCGTGCATTATTCCAAAGTGCATATCACAATCACAAAACTCTTCACAGCCTAGGTTAACAAGGCAAGGATTAAGTGTCTATTGTACTATAGTATACCTAGTGCTGTATTTCATATATGGAGGCAGACCAGCCCAGGTATCCAAGCAAGTAACAAGGCACCCAGACTGGCCACAGCCTACTACAGTTGAGGTAGGCCATTACGCTTGGGCAGGTCAGTTCAGTTCTCATGTTATCGCAAGATTAAATTGGACAATTGACAAGAAATAATACCAAAGGTGGTGTCTCTCCAAAACCAGACCAGCTCGGGTACCCTGGCTTCTCTTTCTTGCTTGCGAAATGTGAATTTACTTTTTGTGTTAAATTTCTTGAGGCACTATTAAAGCTGTGTACAGTGTAAAATAGCATAGTAAGTGCACCAGGAGGGATTGTGCCTTAATGGTTTAACATATATCTATTTTTTATAGGATTATGTTCGTCGTAAACTGAAAGCATTGAATGCTTATGAGAGTAATCTAGCATACGTTTGATTAAAGGTAACTTTGTGTACTAACATTATGTTTATGTAAACCACAATGACCACATTCATACAAGTTAACTTGTATTTGCAGGCCAGGCCCGTAGCTAGACTGATCATTGGGGGTGTATATTCATATATTTGTGTTCTGCCTGAGGGATTTCTTTTGAAAGCAATTGTTGTTACACTACATGAATATGAATATATGAATATACACCATCCCCTCCCCCACCCCCCCAATTATCGGTTCTAGCTACGGCGCTGTTGCAGGCATACACTTATGAAACATTATGAGCCATCTTATACTATACTAAATATTCTGCTTTAATTAATTTTAGTGTTGACTCTCAACACAACATCATGCTGTGTTCCAAGGTTTCCAAGCAACTGGCTCATGAGTATGGAGGGCCACAACTGTTTTAATAAAAGGTATGGTGTACACAGTATTTATGGTATTTGTAATTGTCTTGCCCAAGGCCAAAAAAAATATGTGGGTTTCCGGTTTCTTCTTATAAAAACTTAGGTAGGGTAGGTCGGTTTTAACTTTTTTTTTTAAACTTTTTTTTTAATTTTCCGAACAAGCGGACGCCATTTTGTTTAGTCAGTGCTTCCACATCCAAAGATAAATTTCCCTAATATTGCCTCAAATTTCAATTTTCCACAAACTTTTTCCTCTAAGTGGAAACACTTACAAGCATGATCCAATAAAAAAGTTTAGGGTCGGGATTTCGACGTCCAAAAGCTAGGTAGGGTCGGGAAACCGGAAACCCACATATTTTTTTGGGGGCCCAATAGATATATTTTAAAACCTTATACCGGTAGCTCCTGTGGTATCTGGATTCTGGTAATCACTTTACCATACTTTACTCTGTCAAATTTTCAATATTAATTACTAGGCGATATATGTTGGGTTACAAAACTCCCAACACGGCAACGTTTATTCTCACACCAGAGAATCGTCCTATATATGACTAAAGCTAGACAATTGTACTGTACTTGTACTAGCACATGTCTCAAAATTTGATTTAAAGACTTTTGAGCATAGTATAGAAAGAGTATAATATGCAGCTAATTCTTATGATGTTGTCACAAGCAATGCTGTATTGCAGTAGTCAAATATGTCACATGCCAGCAATATTATCTGCATTTGCTTGCATTTTGTCAAAAATATTTGCGTTTTGGATTGTAGAATTGACTATTGCATGTGACAACCTTTGCATGTGTACGGTATTTAAAGAATGGTCCTTAAAATGATTTTTTCTGTGTTGGTGTTATGTATTCAGGTGAATATGATGTTTGTGCAATGTTACTCTGAGTGTACAACCACACCGGGGAAGTTTGAAAAATAGGCCTGGCCAGGGTGGGGATCAAAGCTACGACATTGGAATGCCCAATGCTCTACCAACTGAGCTATCATGATTACTAGATTGCATTGATATCGAAAGAACTAGACTCAGTTCTGAAATATCACATACTCGAACCGACTTGACTGCGTAGCTCAGTTGGCAGAGCATTGGGCTAGTATTCCAAGGGTGGTAGGTTCGATTCCAGCCGTGGCCAGGCATATTTTTCAAGCTTACCCGGTGTGGATATACACTCAGAGTAACATCACAAGCATCATATTCACCTGAATGCATTACACCATGTTCACAGAAAAAATCATGATTATTAGATTGCATTGTTATCGAAGTAACTAGGCTCATTTCCGAAAATCAGATAGTATTACTCAAACCGACCTGACTGCGTAGCTCAGTTGGCAGAGCATTGGGCTAGTATTCCAAGGGTAATAGGTTCGATTCCCACCGTGGCCAGGCATATTTTTCAATCTTGCCTGGTGTGGATATACACTCAGAGTAACATCACAAACATCATGGTCTTTAAAATGTTTACGCGGTTTTTACATATGATTTGGTACAAGTTCTTGTGAACATCCAGAACAAATTATTTTGCGTGTTTAAATTTGCCACCAGCATTAACACACAGCAAGGGATTAAAGACTTTGAAGATCTGTTAACAGCTTTAGCTTTAATTTACACAGTATAACCAACTTTTTAAGATTGAATTTTTATTATTTTATAAAGGACGAGGTTGAACTTATAACACTGCATTTAATTTTGATAGGCATTAATTTAGCTTTGTATTTCAAGGGGGTTGCTCAATCTAAAACATCCGTCTTTGGGTGTTTGTGACATTTGTGACACTCTATTTGAAAGTTACCTTTTGCTTTGTCTCCCTGAGCAATGTATAAATTTAAATACATGCAGTAAATGACATTTTTATGCTCATTGCTTGTAATGCCTCGATAACCTCGTGGATGAATCTGTAAGGCTTCCAACGTCGGATTTCTTGCTGAGCAAAGTTGTGGCATGCATAAGCAGTCTACCTAACCCCCCACCCAAATTACCTACAGTCTGTCGCCTGGGACGAAAAGGGAAATCGTGTGTAAAATCAGAGTCTGAACATCGCGCATACGGTGGAAGGAAAAGTTATCCAGGCAATGTCATCCAATCATCAAATCAACATTTGATACAAAATTGTACTGTGTGAACTCAATAGTCAACATTTGTACTATAAGTTTTCTAAGAACTTGTAGTAGTATCAAGCTTATTTGTTATTATTTTGTATCTTTCTTTAGCGACTTGCACGCAGGCTGAAGCACGTGGAAAAGGCAAATTGGGGTGCCCAGAAAACTGCAAGAGTGTTCGATGTTATGAGGGCAGGCTACTGTACACGTCCTCAGAAGAAAGCGAGGTCGACGAAACAACAAAAAGGATTATGCGTTACAACATTCGTAGGCTACCCTGGGAGAGTCCATCTCTATACGAAGGGCAAAGAAAAAGTTAGACAGGCTCTCCACACCTTGTCTTTGTCAGAACCTGTTCCTCGCGAGGATGGACAGCCCTCCATTCGACCTAAGCCAAACGACTTCCCGGAGTGGGCAGCTAAGAACGAGGATGATAATGTTGTTGATGAGAGTGCCCAGTCATTATCCCTAGTGGCTCTTCGCTGAATGACTCTGTTAATGACATTTTAAATGATCATGACTCTGATTGCTTTAGTTTTTCAGTATAGTAAAGACCCACGATATATCACCCAACGTTTTCCATGTTCTAATGTATTAATAGTGCTTTATATTTTTGTTGTGAACCTGCATGGCTTCTTAAAGAGGTTCATACAAAATTCTAAATAGAAATGTTAGACTGAAAGGTTTTTATTCGTGGGTTTTCATTCTGCAGGTGATAATTTGATAATCAAATTTATGAGTTTGCGTAATTTACACTGTTTATACGATATGCATTTATTCTGCATAGCAGATTTTTATGTTATTTATATGGTAAATATAAAATTGAAGAAAAAATTATGTGTGCTGAAATCTTTTTTTTTGTCTTTGGAGACATTACTTCCTGCTTTGCTATTGGAGCAGCTTGTTTGCTATTACGTTCAAATCTGGGAAACGCATGCAGAGAGATCTATGAATGGCATTACTTTTGTTTTATTGATCATCTTACCTGCACGTACAATTTATTAACGAAAATATCTAAAACATGGCTTAACTGTAACTATTATTATTTGACATTTGCGATTTTGAATAGTTTGTTTAACCATTAATGTTTAACCATTAATGGTTAAACAATACTATAGGTATTTAAATGGCAAATGGAAACGTCAAATAGACAATACACGTTTCTTTTCGTACGACATTAAATGTGTTTTAAGATTAAATAAACATACAAAACACCTTTGCTTAAAGTTGAGTAAAGACATGTACCTTTTCACAGTTTCAACACCACATTAAATGTGATTAAAGGTTAAATAAAGATACAAAACACCTTTTCATAAAGTTGAGTAAAGGCATGTACAGGTACCTTTTCACAATTTCAACACATATTAAATGTGATTAAAGGTAAAATAAAGATTCAAAACACTTTTGCTTAAAGTTGAGTAAAGACATGCACCTTTTTACAATTTCAACACCACATTAAATGTGATTAAAGATGTAAAATACCAGAGCAGAAAAGCTTTGTATATGTAGCTTCAAGGTACCTTTACAACTCATTTCTCTTCGCAGTTAAAGACAAGTTAGAAACCTTTAATTCCCTTTAAACAAACTTTTCTCATTCTTTAATAGGTCGTCTTTAATCATCTATAATTACACTATAATTTGGTCATTTAAAGCCTCCAGAAAAATCTTTAATCTGCATGCTGAAAGGAGAGTTTAGGTACATTTACTAAATTTAATCAAACTGATTAAATGTGAATAAAGCCGCCAATAACATCGCTTTACGCCACCTTTAACCATGATGATAGCTACTGATTTCGTCCTGTGATATTGTTTTGGTCGGTGACAGCATCTGTTATGGTTTTTGATTTGTGTATTTTCGGTAATCCATAGAAATTTGATGTTTTCATTAGGAAATTTGTGATGTACTCTTTCTCGTTTTCAGTAATGAAGTTTCCAAAGTTTTTAATAAGTCTCTTAATCTTTCGTAAAATGGCTTCGTCCTCGTTTTGCGATAATTGTATGTAATTCTCTGTGTCGGAAAGGAGGTATAGCATTTTGTCTCTATAATAAGATATATATATATATATATATATAAATTAAGGTACAACAAATCAACAAAATCCACTAGGCATCTTTATTACTAAATAGTTTCGTACTACAGTATGTGGCACTCTTCAGATAAATTGACCTAAAAAAGAGTGCCACATACTGTGGTACGAAACTATTTAGTAATAAAGATGCCTAGTGGATTTTGTTGATTTGTTGTACCCTAATTTAAATATGCTTTGGTTTTCCATTGAGCACTTTGCCAAAAGTTTTTATAACCGACAAAACCAAATTATATATATATATATAGATAGATAGATATATATATATATATATATATATATATATATATATATATATATATATATATATATATATATATATATATATATATATATATATATATATATATATATATATACATATATATATGTTAGTTGTGTAATTGTACACTCTGTAATATGTTAAGATTAAAATGTTCTAGAGTGTGTATTATACAATTTCCATACCCAGCGCAAGCAGAAAGATGTTTCGATGCTGAATTAATATAAACGAGTATGTTTATGACATTCAGTATATATCATAATTCCCAGTCTTAAATCCGTCTGACCGTGTAGCTCAGTAGGTAGAGTGTCGATCTAGTAATTCGAAGGTCGCGGGTTCGAGACCCAGCCGCGGCAAACAACATCTTTCTGCTTGCGTTGGGTATGGAAATTATATAATACACACTCTAGAACATTTTCATCTTAACATATTACAGAGTGCACAATTACAACTAACATAACACTTGCAGAACCAGTATTAGGCCGTATTCTGTGGCACGATATCGTTCAGTTCCGTTGCCCGGGTTCGGGCACTACTTTGAAACAAGATAAATAATTAGGATAAATTATACAAAGTTCAAATCCGCTTGTTTGCACTTCCCAAAACCTGCAGTTTTCGAGTATTTCTTCTTCGAAAATTGAAGAAATCGACATCTTTCGCAATCAATCGCTGCCATTTTTCTTCAGGATACTTGGTGTAATAAACACTCTAAACGCCGATTTTCGCGGGCTCATGCTTATTCATACATGAAGTAGCATAGCATTTGTAAACATGCATGGCGTCTTCTGATTCATGATTCATGTTTAATTCATTTTGATGGGAAAAAAGGCCCACTTACAAGTTTTAGTGCGGTTTCGTATCAAAAAATTTTAGATTGTCGTAGAATTTGGCTAACGCTAGACGGGGAAGAACGCAATGTTGCTCAAAGAAGTTTGCGGTTTGTTAGCGATAGCATGGAAGTAGCACGGTCGAAAATATCGATGCAAATTTCTCTTGTCATCGAGGTTGTTACTCGGCATTCGCAAATAGCAGTATGATCAACCGAGCTCAAGAGCGTTGTCAGAATATGGACAAAGAAGGTGTAACCTTCAATCTCTGGTCTCGATATTGATGAAGAAATGGAATCAGATGAATACGAGTGCGGGCCTGTGCGGCAGCAAAATCATGGAATCCCCACTTGTTGCCATGCGTTTAGCGTTTGTATAATTTGCTAATCAGAAAAGTCGTATTTCACTGAATCGGAAAGTTTATTGATTTATTTTTTTTACAATTATTGTTATTTTTCTAATATGTGTTTTATAATTAAATATTGATTGCATTGCCTTTAGTCGCTCCCGTTATAACGGTTGTGTGATTTATATGCATGGGGTTTTTATTGTTTAGAAGTCGAAAAAGTGACAGCTGGACAAAATGGTATCTATGAAAACAGTAGATGGTGGTAAACTGAAAGAAGCTGCAACAAAGAAAGTTTATTGGCATTGAAACCATCCACGTACAGTATACAAGTGCAAGACTGAAAGAAATGTATACAGGGAATTAATACAGTTGGCCTAACATTGAGAAACAACTTGCAAAGACTGTTGCAAAACATTGTACATCTGCTTGGTACCAGAAGATGCTGACTACTTTGAATTAGATGACCAAACTACATCAAAAATTTTTCTCTGTGTCAAAATTTGGTCTATATTTCTAATAGGGGGAAAGTACAGATACCCAAGTCCCTAGCACTAGCACTAGCAATGACCGTTCCGCAGATGTTTGGTTGTTCTGGCCTGATATTTAAGATTTTGAGTGGTTTTGGACATTGTCTCTCACTATCTTTGGCAATGGCATATGATTCAGCTGTTGCGCACAGGCAACTATCAAAACATCAACATTATTCCAGTAATATCTGATGCATGTGGTGGCCAGTTCTTGTACCAAACTGATGTAAAATTATGCAAGTTGTTTCTCAATGTTAGGCCAACTGTATATATTTCATTCAATGTTGCACTTGTGTATGTCGATGTTTTCGTTACAATGTCAACATCAGAATCAGACTCTTGTGTGAACTCTGAGATGTTTCTATGTCATCATCCATAAAACTTTTTCTTGACTGAGGCACTCTGCATTGATTGATTGATTGATTGATTGATTGATTCATTCATTCATTCATTCATTCATTCATTCATTCATTCATTCATTCATTCATTCATTCATTCATTCATTCATTCATTAAACAATTTCACTCTTGTTTCATAACTTTGGTCTATGGAAAAAAAACTTTTCATAACATTGTTTATGGTATAATTCCACTTTCAATGCTAGGTCCTTACCAGCAATTTGAATCAAAATACTTTCATCAGCTTTCTTTGTTGCAGCTTCCTTCAGTTTACCACCTACTGTTTCCGCAGACACCATTTTGTCCTAAATAATAAAAACCCATGCATAGAAATCACACAACCATTATAATGTTAGCGGTTAAAGGCAATGCAATCAATATGTAATTACAAAACACATATTAGAAAAAATGTTAATAAATCAATAAAATTACCAACTCAGTGAAATGATTGATTTGCAAAATTGCAACATGGCAACACGTGGGGATTTAGAAGATATTCAAGTTTTTTTTCGCGATGTGAAATACAGAAAGTTTTTTTGGCTAAGCGGTGAGTAAATATATGAATTTCGATCGGCTGCTCATGTTTTAACTAGTACTTAATAATTGTGTTTCTTTCATCAAAAGAGCATATTAATAACGTGGTATCCTCGTTTTTAGTTTTGTCATTTTTAGTATTTACATGAAGTTCATTCACAAATTATGACGCATATATTCACAATATAAACAACTCAAAAAGTGTAAACATTATTCGAGGTGGCATACCCCTGCAAAAAGTGACTGTGAGGACATTTGGGAGCTCTGCTGCAATCTGACAAAAAGGCAGCATTCACTACCTCTAAGGTTACCTAGTATAATTGTTCATCCTATTTAGTATTCTTTTGTAGTCGTATTTTAATTAAGCTATTCAAAACACTCGAACTCGCGTTTTATCATATCTAAAACGCTCGGCTGCGCCTCGCGTTTTAAATATGATAAAACACTCCTTCTCGTGTTTTAAATACTACATATATTCTTATATGTTCACGCTGTACCGTAGTACACCGTCAATGCACGTGCGCTATTATACGACAATAACAAAATCGGATTAGTCATTTAGCACGGCGGTCACGCAATATATTTCCAGTCAACAGCTAAGCGTTTGTCTGTCTAACAACACAAATAAATATGGATTAAAGTATTTTAGAATATTCTTAGTGCAAAATAGTTTGTATCACTACTAAGTACATTGACTTACTCTCCGACGTATATTAAATGCGTGAAAGTCGTCGCATATATGATTCTTAATCGCATTCTATACAAGCTATCGAGGCATAGCGTTGCATGAGGTTGTTAACTTGTTTTATTATTTATTGAATGTAATTCAAAAGTTTTGATTGGTTAAGAGCTGTTGATGAAATCGTCATATCCGTTTGGTAGTTGCCCAAATTTGGAGTTATGACATCACATTGAATATTGAAAACACATATACGACATTATGACGTAATTTGGTCGTATATTGAAAACACATATACGACATTATGACGTAAGTCCGATATATATATATATACAAATAAACAATAAAACAATTATTGAATTCGGTTCTCGTAGGATATGAGGAATTATTAAGGCCTCGGTTTGTGTTATCTGCCTCAGTCTGCGGCTTCGGTAGATAACACAAACCTCTGCCTTAATAATTCCTCATATCCTATACTCGACCTCATTCAATAATTGTTTAATTAATATTACCTTGTCGACCATGTGGTATTTGCTTCTTGAAGCCTAATACATTCTAGTGAGCCATATTTACTACGGAAAGAGAAAGTCACGCATAAAACTCAATTTTTAATGCGCAATGCCTTGGTTATTGAATTTGAAAGATAGCCTACAGACAATCCTGGACAAAACATATGCATCTGCGACACTTCCAATTACCTGACAAAATGTCGTAATATTATCGTAAATTTAGAAAACCTCCCCCTTTCCCCCCTCATTCAATGTTTATTGCATTCGTAGAACACGGATAAAACGTCCAACATTGTTTTGTGGATTGGAGGAGGACAAACGAGTAAATTATTCCGATCTAACTTGTAAAAATAGCCACACTAAAGGAATGTTTTAATAGAGTGTCGCAGATGGCTTTGTCCAGGATTGTAGGTGTATTTATCAAAGTTAACTGCACCTACCGCTTCTTTGGTCTCCACCAGAGCTATATATTCTCCCTCCGACGAGTCTGTATCCTCGTTGATCCTCGTGCGAAATGATTCCGGCTTTCTTTTACACAATGCCAGCATGTTTTTCCCCAAGCTGGGCATTTGAACTTATCTCTGGGATGATATTTGGTGCAGAATCTACACTTAATTAGCACTTCTTCAACTCTTTTCTCGACTCGTTTCCTTTGCTCTTTGTACTGTTCTCTGTGAAAATCCTGAGCGGAACCTTTGCTGTGGGCGGACGAGGACGCTAACCAACTATTTTTTTAAGTGGCCTTGATCATAGCCTGCTTGAGCCCATATTTTACTATGGCAGTATGGTCGTCTTAAAGTCGTTGTTGATCATCTGGAGTTGTCTTTAATCGAATTTTAAATACCCGTAAGGTCGGCACGTAGATTATTCATAAGTCACTATAACTTCTTGCACTCTGCCGAGATTTATTTACGTTGAAAGCATAGACAAATTTCAGTGATGACTTTTGTTAATAAAACAATGGCCAATACGCTCGTCTTCGCCATATTGTGCCACGTGATCTTCCAGTACGATTAAATTCCGTTTAGGTATGTCTAAATAATCTGCATTTTTTATATGCTCGGGAATACTTTAATTGAATTCAAGTTGCACAGCAAAAACGTTCACTTGATGATGAGACATGCAGACATTGCTTGCCCCTTAAGATCCAGTGTAAAATTATTCCTAAGTAAGGGTGATGAGGCATATTTATTCAGGTGACTATAGTCCATGACTATGATGACTATAATAAAAGTATTATGTTGATTATAGCACATGACTGTAGACCCATTGCACATGACGTCACAGTGCCGGTGACAATGTATCTGGAGGACAAATTAGCAATCTATGGCTAATATAACTTTTGTAAATAAAGCAAATTGTGTAAAACTTTAAAATAATTTTGTATTAAAATGGTTAATTTTTGCCCTGTACGTGGTTGTTGTACCCGCACAGATATTGTTACGGAGCATGTGGAGGAGACTCTAAGAATTTGTGACGTAAATTATAACTACAATAACAAAAAGTTAGTGAATTGCTGCCGTATTTGTATTCGCGTTGCGCACTTGCGAAAAAGTTAGCGCTTTGATTACCTTGTGTTTGACATGAAGGCCTGGTCGCGATCTCAACGTTAGCGTTACATGACCGAAATTTGTCATCAAAATGACGCCATGGTGCTAGCCGATGCGCTGAGAGGCTTTCACCCCCCTGATAATATTCAAAATAGAAGACCTCCATACGCACACTGGGTAGGACCATAGCGTCAGCATTTTGATGACGAATCAGTTGGCAGCATTTATCCTTTTCTGGCTGAATCGATCTTCTGTGTATCTTTATTCTGTGATCAAGCATTCAAGCCTAACTTTTTAGCCATGTCAGGGATCGCCATTCGCGGAATCACATTACAACGTATACTCAAATAATAAGGAGGTATTTGAGTAGTTGTAATGAAATAACTTGCAATGAAATACTCTACCAATAAAAAATTACATATTTGGCTGGGTGATTGGCAGCTGATGGGTTATTACCCATTTTACTGCCCTCCATTACTGTTGCTGATAGATCAAGTCGCAGTGATAGAATATATTAGTATCCGTACAAGCAATCATCTATCGGGCATCATACGTCCTTTTCTCCATAATATAAGTATGTTGATGTGAGCACCTGTATATAATCTCCCCTCCCCCAGGTATAAGGCCATCAACAAACGCTTACGAACTTATATAAGCCCCGCCTTAAAATCGGAGGTTGAAGGTATTTGGTTTGTTTACGATATTTGGTTTGTCTACAGGGTTTGAGTGTTTGTCAATTTACGTTTGAACTAAATGAGATACTGTAACTTTAAAACATTGCATTCACTTGGTCAAACAATGTATTAAAATTACATGCATGTCTGTATTTAAACCTACTTGTTATTATAATTAGCATTTTTATATATACTGTAGCTCTGAGTCACGTGATACCTTCGTTTGTGTTCGTTATGTTTCAGCGAGGACAATGCTTCGCTATAAGTTTGATGGTAAAGAAACAATGGCTCTCGCTTGCTTCCGTTCGTATAGAATTGATGTAAATTTTGTTTGAGTTGCCTTTTACCACACCGGACCAACACGCAAAGTGTCTGATCAATATATTGATGATCAGCGACAGCGTTAAAACAATGATTCCCAACACCAAATATGCACAGGTTTATCATATCAAACGCGGGCCTATATAAATAGAAGAACAAATCGTCAAATTTCCTGAAAATTCTTCTTAAACTAAAAGGATCGTAGATAATGTTTTGATCTACCTTAAATAAATGAATTTACAAGAAGATATAATTCTTAAAAATCTCACTATTTGCTAAATACTTGCCAACTTGTAAGTTTCGCCCTCTTGCTAAATCTTGGCAAGTCCCGAAGAGCAGCCGATTGCTTCCATAAAGACCCGTCGAATCTCTACGTCACAAAACGTAATAAAACTGAACATCCAAACATTGCTCAAATCCAAATAATTGTCGCATTCATACAGCTCAGTAAAGAGGTCTGGGAGCAAATCACAAGAATAGGGAGCTGCCTCGCGGCAGCAATAATGCCTATTTAAACTTTATTCATTAGTTATTAAGACTATTGTCGCGATTACTAAAACCATAGTCTCCATGTCTCAAGACTATAGTCATGACTATTACGACTATAGTCATAACTTTTATGATTGAATAATTATACTGGCCGCAGCCAGTGTCATAGAATGCCCTTGCTGAAGATGCGGTGTTTTTCGGTTGTTTTTATTTGGTTTCACAAGTGTGACTTTCCATTGCGGCATCGTGGGCTCAGGATTGCGCAATTTAGCTAATCCATTAGGGCCAATTCTACACGACGTTAATTACAACAATTTTCGTATTTAATATTTAACTAGCTTACAAATCTTACATGCTGTAATTGTGGGACGTGTTTTATTATATTTCATTGCGCATGCGCTTGAACTTTTCTGTGTTTTTCGATATGATATTGCTAAAGTCTATTGGTTTTGCATGGATTTTTATTGTGCCGTCCTCTGAATGTTTGTGATCGTGAAGTGACGGCTGTCAAGAAGTGAAGGACATCTACATGTTTCAAATTATTTTTCAGAATTTTGCGATGGTATTTTACGAACCGCGAGGCTAGTGTGAACGCCTGAGCAGGCGTCTTGTTGAATCCTAAGATGGAATCCTTGAATCCTTGAATCCTAGGATTGATTTATGAAATTGAATCACTACCTTAACATCAGTCCAGCCTTAACCAAAGCTGTAACACAAAAATAAGACCTTACCATAATACCAGTCTTAAAGAAAAGTAAGATACGACAAAGTCTAGCAATGTTAGTGTGCTTTAAAGTACAGGTTTTGTCGGTAACTAATTACAATGTGCTTTAAAGTATATAGGTTGAGTCAATATAAAATCCGAAGCAAAATAGTAACAAACAAAATTATTTAATTAGAAATCGAAACAAAGTACAAAATTTAATGTAAATTAATCGCGCAGAAATTACTCATTTAGTTATTCAATTCGACGACTGTCAATATTTGAAGTCCATCACAGTAGATACATCGTGTGTCAATTATTTTTCTTTTCTGGTTGTTCTCTTCTTGCCACGGGCATAAACTTGATATGCGGCTTTGAGGCCACTCTCCAAGGCACCTTGAATCCAACCAGCGGCAAATGATAAGGTTTCTCCGGCGAAATGTACGTTACCCATGGGTTCCCACAAAGTTCTAAATTACGAAAAAATAAAAATAAATGTAGATGAATAAAATATACTGAGTATATAATTAAAGTATTATCCGGATCGAACATGATAAATAAAATATGATGATCATAAGAAGACGTTGGTATCGAATGTACTATAGACTTAGTTCCGAAATACCACACACTCGAACCGACTTGACCTCGCAGCTCAGTTGGCAGAGCATTGAACTAGTATCCCAAAGGCGCGGATTCGATTCCCACCGCTGTCAGGCTAACTTTTCAGCCACAGAACAAACACAAAAAATAGTATTAAGTTGTTTACAACACTGTGCCAAGATTTTAAATTTCTGCAAACAATGTTTGACTAAGATGACACAGAAAGCAACAGATTACAGTATAATTAAAATACAAATTTCAATCAATACAGTAATGACGAATATTAATTAATACAATGAATGTCCAATAATATTAGTTTTCAGATGAGTTCCACTCTAGTTGGCCGAAAATGGAGGCAAGTAGGTTTTTTTTTATATGTGGGTGGTAGACATATTCCATTCAGGAAATATCTGCTTTTCCAAACTATGAAGCTTTTACAAAAAATTAACATTATCAAGCTGCTGTACACGAACGAAACAAAATCACTGTAATATATTCATCGATAATTTATGATTGGAAATACAAATTGCGTGCAAACAAAACTTAGTTTTTAGTACTCAATTTTTTGGTGGCATTCTCGCTCCTCTACAAGGAAGGCGAATAAATTCACATAAACGTTGAGTGCGGCATGGAATTCATCCCATCACTATTGAAATAAATTGATTGAAATCTTGATCTCATAAATGTCAAGCATTAGGAATTGGTTTTGTGCGAGATAAAGCATTTTTTACATCATACAATTTTGCTCTGATTCCTACCTGACATTGTTAAACTGACTGGTCTTCAAAAAGCCAAAGGCACCTTGGTAAGAGGGCTGGTTGTACCAAGCATGGACGACAGACTTTTCAACCATATTTTCCTCCATTATTTCTTTGTGGATGTGTTTGACTTGTTCAATTGCCTCCTTCTTGACTTGATCTTTTGTCATGGAACCAAAAATCAGTGCGTCATTGTTCCAGGTGTAAACCAGAATTATTCCTTGCTTTGTGGATTCCACATATTCCGGATCCGGCTTAACGTAATGTATTTGACCGATTGGGAGGTTGGTCTTAGAAAAGCCACCTTGGATATTGTACTTTGCGTCCTCCCAGAATCTTGTTTGGGTTTGCAGGAAGATCTTGGTGGACGGTGCGGTATTAATGTCGTCGATGGCTTGAAGACTCTTTCGCTGTTCATGCTTAGCATTTTTGTCCTCAACAAGCGGTTCAAAAGTGAGTTGTCGCAGTATGTTCACCGTTGTGGTAACAATTACGGCCTGAAGATAAAAAGGAATCAAATTAAAACCCTTATTAAAATATGTCACCTTATATTACATTTTGTAGAGAACATCATAATAAAATATCATATTGTCAACTCAAGGTCGTTGCTTTATCAGGGCCTTTTTTAAAAATTTGGCAAGGGGAGGGGTTGCATCAAAGAAAGGGGAACTATTCACATTCACTAGGCAGGGATCGCAGAGCGATGGGAATGCATAGTCCCCGAGCCACGCGCGCGGGCATAGAGCGAGGGTTGTGGCGAGAGTACTAATTCCGCTCGGCTATTTACACCCGGGGAAAGGAAAGGATTACCAAAGTCTAAAGTCCATCAATGATCGCGCGCGCATGGCTACGCATGGGCGGTCATCTCACTGTCCTCAAAAATATAGCTGTTTGCCAGAAAAAGACATACATGACAGAAAGCTTTGGACATCTTTTCACACAATAAGTTGTAAATCGCCTTTTTCAAATCTTAAAGAAAGTACGAGAAATGCTGAAGCATAGAGGTGAGTTTGTTTTTACTGTTTATGTATGACTTTGCTGTTCAGTTTTCGGACTTTTCACCTGAAGGCCTTCAACATGTACTTCTTTCCTTTTCATTCTATATGTGAGAGTTTCTTTGAATTAACTTGTTTTCATTTTTTTATAAAAGCTCAAAAAAAGGAGAAAATTATTTTCAAGAGCGACCTGTATGATTTAAATTTATTTCATTTCAAACATCAAAGTACGAGTAATAAGTCGAAGAGTTTATAGGCAAAAAGCAATTTCAATGAACTTTAAAAACCGTTTACGAATTCAAGCTTTTCATGTTGAATTTTACATTATAACAAATCTCATGCATAGAAAGCAAAATAACATACCTACTTTATATATGTTGGAAACCGATAGTTCTGTAGTTAACAGTGCAACATATACTCATTTATTTTTGCCGTTGTGAACAAAAATTAAAGAAATCAATGCGAGTGCCAGAGTTCCATGTTGGCGTAATTAAGAGTATTTCATGTTGAAAAATGTTTGGAAAATGTGGGCGAGGGGTTGTTGCATGCATGTATTTCTAGTACGAAGTAAATTCGTGGTAAAGAACTTTAAGCCCGGCCGAAATTATACGCCCAACTATTTACCACAATGATTTTGGTTAAAATGATAATTTGTATCACCTGGTGATAGGCTGATGTATTTCTAAAACGCATGCATGCATACTGTAAATTGAGGCCCAAGTTACACGATACCGGATTCGCATCGGAGCGACATCAAATTGTACTGCTTCGAGGTGAATTTGGCACTTAAAATTATGATAATATAACATAATTAAACCGAAATCTTCAAATATGAAAAGTTGTAAGAACAGACAAGACTGGAAAACACATTAAATTGATACCGCTCCGATACGAATCCGGCATCGTGTAACTGGGGCCTAAATTAGAAGAGATTCATGTTCGCATGTTTAAAGAAAAAAAACAATTACACAAATCAGTAAAGGTTACAATGGCATCAAGTTAATTGTCACTCTGGTCGAAAAATGAATATGTAATATATGTGTCATATAGCTACTTTTGCCTTTCTACTTAATAGGATAGTCTATCAAAATATGGTAGTCTGGAAACTGAACAGAAATTAATGTGTTAAGTTTTTGTCTGGATTAATATGTTAACTTATGCACGGTCGCAGTGATTGAGCTCATTGTTTTCGTATAATTAATTATAATCGTCCAACGGAGGTAGCTGAGATGAAGCGTGAACGACGATGAATAATATTTAGTGAAGGTGAGACAAGGGACTTGTGTATACGGTAAGGTAACAAAAACCTTTATTTTGAGGCTTCCAGATCATCATACCATGCAGTGGCGTAGCTAGTGGTCCTGCTTGTCCTGCCCAGCAGGACTAAAAATTTTCCCAAATTTCCTTACTAAAACATTACTTTATTTATCTTGAAGCTTTAAAAATTTATTATTATTATATTGTTATTTTGTATCATTTTCTCGTCTTTTTCGTTATTATTTTTTAAAAGTTTTCCGTATTCTATTACATTTACACAATTTTACAGCTTGCCGTGTCTGTTACCTAGCAACTGCAACTCTACAAAAGCTCATTTCCGGGCAATATATTGATTTACACGCGCTCGTGTTTCGGTCCTGCCATTTTCAAATGGCAGGACTTGCTAGTATATTTCATAGTAAATTCATACAAGAAATCTTGGTTTCTGGGACAAGAAATCTTGGTTTCAAGGTCTGCGCATGCTCAAACCGGCTGTTTACAAATGCGAAGTCCTGCTCTCTCGAAATGGCAGGACTTGGCCTTGTATTGTCTTTTCTTGCGAGCTTTCCGCGTGATTAAACCCACTTTTTACTAACTCTGTCAAGATTACTCAAGTGATGAATATGGAAATCAACCAGCGTGGAAGCCCATTGTGATTTGGTCATTTGGATATCATTTCTGGCTTCTGCTAAGATATTTTAGCTCACGAAATGCATGTCAACAGAATCGATTGTGTATTTTGTGTCGTATTGATATATAAAGTATGAACGTATTATTTGCCAGTTCATCTGCTTTACGCATTGCATGAAACACGAGTGCTTAATATGGAGTTTAAAAATGATATAGCTAATTTAGTAATTTAGATTTACAAAGTTTATGTTATTTATGTAGATATTTGGCCGCATTTTACACTATATTTACTTTAAACGCTACGGCAATTTTATTATTAAATACCATATAACCATACGCATAGCGTACTGAATTATACAATCAGAGTGCCGAGCGTAGTGGTTCGTAGACTCGTAGTTGATACCACTCCGTTTAATATTGTTTATTAACACATTAGTAATTTTTTAACGAATGCTAGCCGTATATATAGTGTTGTAAATTCAACAGGCACTACAACAATTGTTGAGTTACGCCGATTGCACGTTGACCAAGTGAAAGATCATATTACAGACGTGTATTGAAAACATGATATTTTCCCCTTACATGATATTTTCCTCTTATATTTTCCTCTTACAATATTTAGCTAAATTTTCAAGTTGAAAATATATAGGGAAATATGATAAATATGGAAATACGATTTCAAAAATTATCAAAAAATTTCCACTAAATCACACAATTTTTTGATGTTATCTTTGGAGTATTTCGCCGTGAAATCGCAGGAAATGGCCATTCCAGACTTCTAAAATTAAAAATTTTCCGGCAGGGGGCATGCCCCCGGACCCCCCTAGAATGTTTGAGTTTTAGAGCAGGACCTGTCGAATTTCGCTAGCTACGCCACTGATACCATGTAAAATTTAGGAAACGCGGAAAGAATCGTAAGCTTTGCAACTCGATTGCTTATCATACCATGTCATTATGCAATGGTCCATAATCTTACAACACGTCATTCTCGAAGAACGTTTTAAAATGTATTCAGAATTGTATTTCAAAAGTTCAAATTGGAGAAGCAAACCAATAAAAATTGAAAAGCAACAAAGTATTAAGAGAAACTAGGTGATCGTATGGAGTATATCTCTGCACTTTAGAGACGCATTAGTAATTTATGGTGACGCGTAGGCATAGCCTGTTGATTACGACTGATTTGGGTTTTGCTAGTCTGGACTGCTTGAAATTACTTTTCGTACAATGGGCAGCGTCAGATAACCTTTAATATTTATCATTCTTAGAATGCAACATTATAGTTTATTGAGTACAAACTTCCCATGCAAACGGAAAATGCATATTTATAGAAACGCAAGCCATTGTTGTTTAAATTCTCTAGGGGAATTTTCAACCCATCCCGCACTTACGCAGCCAAATTATTTCATACCCAGCGTACAGTAGTAGCGTCCTATTGGCTACGAGAAGGTGCGTTCAATCTGTTATCTCATACTTAGCGTATTCATGGCCAGAAATTCAGGACATGCGCCCGCAATATATCTCAGCGGTTTTTCCTATGAAAAGTTATTCATACCTAACAAACGCATGTTTTAACTAAAAAAATACATTTTGCTTAGTTTTTTGTTTAACTAAAGCAGAAAAATACATATATTAGGTATTGACGGCCTTTTACATACCTTTCATTTATTATGATGGGATATAAAGTGATGCGCATGGTAAACGACTCAAATATTTTGTGTATACATCGCTATCCCTCCGTGTAGCCCACACTGGAAGAAAGCCTGGTTCCTAAGCTTCTTGTTGATATCAAACATGGACGACAATTCATGAAACATCGTTCTTCTTGCAATGTTTTACGGCCTGTCGACAGGGTATTTATGGGTAAAATATCAACGTTTTGTCCCGTAAATTGGAACAAGTTAAAAAAATCGTATCACTATGAAATTATGCAGACAAGCAGGGGACAACATATATTTTACGACGCGGAGTCTGCAAGTTTCATGATAGGTTCGAGGGATACACGCGGCCAGAGCAAAATGTACGTTTTGAACGATTTTCTCAAGTTTTACTATACTTTATTATACGCCGATGTACTATGAAGTGAACTTGAATAATGGAACAACTTATAGGTAAGAGTCCGATGCGAAACTTTTCTGTTTTGCGGTCCAGATATAGTTTATATTATTGCGAAGTCTGCAAATGACATAGCTATTATCAAACAAGTTTAAATTTAAAAAAACCGCACCACTCCTAATGATTTATATATAACAAATCCGCCATTTTGTTTGTCAAAGTTCGCACATGCTCAGAATCAATGTCCGTAATTTCTGGCCATGAGCGGCTTTCCTATTGGCTACGAGGAGGTGCGTTCAATCTCGAACCCACCTGCTATGACGTATGTTTAGGAGGTGGGTTCGCGATCGACGTTTCGGCGGCGGCCATTACGAAGCGATTTGAACAAATTTCAGACGAAAATTTAAATATAAAAAAATTAACTGTTTTTAATTGTTTTATAATTATTATTTTTTATTTAGTTTGATGAAAATGGAATATTCTGTATTCAATGTGGAAGGGAAGAGAGATGGCCGCCGAAATTCGTTCGGTACGGGCAGGTTTATATAAAGCTTGGCAATGTTTTCGCAGAATGTGTGCATTTTCTCTTTCCAAGAATAATAATAAGGGAATATTGTCGAGAATTTTTTAGCTTAATTCGATTTAAGCCTAAGTTTGTTTGTTTGTGTAGTATGTTGGCGGCTAAAATTTTCGTTATCCAAACAAGAAACTATATACTAAATGCATAAACTTTTCAGTACTTTTTACCGCAATTGTATGTGATAAAAACCAACCATTTTTACCAAAATGGCATGTGATAAAAAACCTCACTTCGCTCGGCGAGCTCGGGAAATTTCCAGCCACCTTTGGTGCGTCCACTCCCGGACTCATCTCCTTGCAAGTATGTTGGTTTAAAGCTAGAGAATTGGAAACGTTCCAACTGCTAAGGGGAGGTGGTGTAGGATTCACTCCCAGAGTATTTTCGGGGATTAATTCCCTGCGTTCACACACTACATTCATCTATTCAACATAAGGGAATATAAAAATACTCATCAAAAGTCAGTCTTCACTTTATTTCTTATACTTTAGACAAAATGAACCTTTACCGGAGGGACCAATATAGTTTACTGGTGGACACGTGGGGGCTGGAGGGGCCTTGGTCCCCTATAGTATATATGCTAATAAAGCCTATGGGATTTATGACACTTACTTCATGTAATTTTAAATTTATATCCTCAGGCTTAGCGTCATAATTTTAAGTTTAACATGCCCCCTTGGATATCAAATTACTGTACATTGAAGGGATTGGCGTGTTTAAATAATATTGCATGACCTTGCTTCATCTCATAGTTAAGGTTACAGAACACCTTTGAGTGTTAATTTTGCCTAAATTTTTTTTATTGGCTTCAATGAAATCATTGGACTAGTTCTACTATCTGACCAAGTTTGAACGAAAAATGTTAAAAACTCACGCAGAGTTATTTAATAAAATACATTTTGCTGCAATAAGAAAAACATTGAAAATGTAATATTCAAATTCAATTTTCTCCCGAAAAATTTTACGGCAATTACCGATTTTCAAATGAGTTGTGCTCCTGCGGGTTTTAACCAAATTTTCTCAAATTTTCACAGAACATAGCTAAATACATCAGTTTCAAAATTGTGTTCGGCTTTTTTTAATTTTGGATATTTTAAAAATAAAGAGCAATTCACTCAAACAATTCAGAAATATATTGCAGTTGTCAAAGAAATCGCCATATCAGCGGAATGACGAAATAAACAAAAATTTCCGAACACCAATTTTTAGAACAACTATTTTACTGTATAAAAATGATATTTTCAAAAATATAACTTAAAACCAGCAGGAGCACAACTCAAAAGCGTAACGGTACCGCGATTTAAGATTTTCTTGATTCTTACATTATTTTATTGCTTGTTAATTTTACAACTTTACCATATTTTGCATGCACTGGAGAACATTTGGTGAAAATTTGATGAAAATCGGATTGATATTGAGCAAGCAGTAGCGATTTTCCGCAAAACGCCAAAAAGGGTGTCCTGTAACCATAAAAAAGAGAAAACGTTTTTCATGTTTGAATACAATTATGGAAACATGCGTGCAATTTTTGGCGAATGCAAAAACACGGAAAATTTTTCTAAGTTGAAACTATTGTAGCAGTGTAATAAACTTACCCGTGCTGTATATGTTTTGTCTGGTAGGGATTGATCATTCTTCGCATAGCAAGATACTTTGACCCAGTCGTCCTTGGGGCGCCAAGGTACGGAATAATAAGAAAACTTGAAGGCTTGCGCGTGTTTTACGAGGTCGTCTGTTTTCAACACGTCGTCAGAAAAGAAACCATCAGCTAAACTGTGCATACCACCCACCAAGCAATGCATATCAGGCGACCACCAGTGTCCTAGCTGATCACGAAGATACTGCACAAGCGAATTATCAAGGAATGGAGTATAGGTGAATACAGCATAACCTCGCACTGCATCGTTGGACCAGGGCAACAGTTTAGCAAGGGTGTCAACATCTAAATCTTGTCGACATTCTTCTGGAACCTTCGCATAAATTACATCAATATTGCTTCGGAGGAAGCTTTCCAATGTAAACTGACTCCAAATGTTAATCCACTTTTTCCATACTATCATTTCATGATCAATATCTGGTGCATTTCTTAACCACGTTTTCAGTTGGTCAGTGACAATTTTGGTTGTTTCATCGTAATATGCCCCTAAATAAATTAAATTAATAGTTTACATTCGTTACATTATAAATAATAATAATTATGTCATAGAGGGTCTGTTCTAGTTATAAAATATTTCTCGCAGACGATCGCTATTAGTTATTGCTAATCCTATCCATAATAATGTTCTTAACCGCAGGCCCTCACCCGCAAACATGAATCAATATCTTCCATCTAAGGCAAAAATTGCAACACGATCAGCAGCTTACTGAAACCGCATAGTCTTGAAAATACGGGATTCACTGGCAGATGGTTACGTGTATATACGTCACATACTTTTGTTCTTGAACTTAGCTTCTTCAATTTCCTTTTAAAATGGTTCAATACAGTTTTAAATAAAATGAAAAATTCACGATTTAGATCCATATAGGCCTATAGCTTATCCATATTTTTGGAAAATTGTTACTTGTTGAAAAAAAGTTTCTTATTGATGTAAAATAACATCCAAAGGGTTTGAATTTTTTCAAACGTTGCACAACTGCCGTTGCTATGGCAACAAAGACGTTTCAAGATGCTGGAATTTTAGCTTTAAAGTAACTCAACTCGAAAACGACATCGGTGACCCCAAATGTTATGCCTTAAATTGTTTTCTTTTACTCTACTCGACACGATTTTATTAAAATTGTCAAAATAATTGATTTTACTAAAATAAATCATTTTATGAAATAAAATTGGGATGATCACCAATGTCGTTTTCGAGATAAGAGTTAAATTACTTTAAAGCTAAAATTTCCGCCATCTTGAAACGTCCTTGTTGCCATAGCAACGGCATTTGCATCGAACCCTTTTGATGTTGTTTTTATATCAGTAAGATACTTTTTGTTTTTGAACAATAAATAATTGGCTCAAAAAATACGGATCTAAATCGTGAATTTTCGCTCTTCTCGCTAGTTTAGATAATTCACCTTTATATTATATGAGACGGATTATCCGACAGTCTTTCTTGATGAATCAACATTTGAAAATGGCAGGACTAAAACACGAGTCGCGCATGTAAATAAAACTATTGCCCAGAAATGAGCTCTTATAGAGTTGCAGTTGCTATAGGTAACAGACACGGAAAGCTGTACATTTTTTAAGCAGTAGCTTAAGTCAGGAGCGAACTACTTTTGTTCGAAATTAGCAGTCAGTTGTAGCTGACTACATATTTTTGAAGTAGGTGTAGTTATAGCGAACCAACTCGAACTTCATCATAAAAATCATAAATTGGGAAGAAATATAAAATCTATGATTTCATCATAACTATCTATAATCGAATGGAATGTTTTCATCCTTGAGCGTAGATTTTTATCAGTGCAATGAAATCCCACTTATTGGATCCTGGCCAAGGTCTACGGTCTACGCTGGCCAAGGTCTACGCTCTAAACGAGATTGCATGTATTCTACAACAAAATGTCCTTGGTTTTTGTCTGGTAAAGTTCTGTTCGTGCCCACACTAGTTGACTTTTTCCGTTTTTCGTATAGATTTGCTGCTGCGCCAGAGTGCGTTTCAGCTTCTCGTCCATGACCATATTGTTAACCCTGTCTACGAGAGGGATATACGTGTTTATAATATAAATACTGTGGATCCGAATGAGAATATTGAATAAGTAAATAAATACTGATCTGCTGCACTGCGCAGATAAACCTACGTGCATTACCATCATTGTTCTTCAAATATGCCATCGAATCCAGTGTCATCGCCATCAAGTTCGAATAATAGACCATCATCATCGTCATCTTTTGACAAATCGTTCTCGTCTGTATTTTGGTCCGGAGAATTTGTGCAATCATAACAGGAACAAAGACCAGTACACTTCAATTCTGCTTTTTGACAGGCACAACGTCTAGCTGAAAATCCAGACTTACAATCACAGTTAACGTTTCCAAAATTCCACCAGGAGCTGCCGGCATTGGTGATTCATCTGATATTGACTTGCCTTCGCTTGCTTCCCAAACAAACTCGCTGATTGAACACTATGCCATGCACGAAAGACGTCCTTTTACTTCATAAAAATCGTGCATTATATCAATGCCGCATAATATGGAAAAGTGCACTCCAGCCAGTATAATGTCACCCCCTTCAAGCAGCAAGTTTGTTTGGGAAGCAAACGAAGGGCACGTCAATATCGGTCATGACCATGCCGGCAGCTCCTGACGAAATTTTGTGGAAACGTTAACTGTGGTTGTAAGTCTGGATATTCAGCAAGACGTTGTTCTTGTCAAGAAGCAGAATTGAAGTGTGCTGTTCTTTGTTCTTGTTGCGATTGCACAAATTCTTCCGACCAGACTACAGACGAGACGATTTGTCAGATAATGACGATGATGATGGCCTATTATTCGAACTTGATGGCGATGACACTGGATACGATGGCATATTTAAAGAACAATGATGGTAATGCACGTAGGTATTATCTGCGTAGTGTAGCAGATCGGCATATATTTACTTATTCCATATTCTCATTCGAATCCACAGTCTTTACATTATAAACACGTAATCCCTCTCGTAGACAGGGTTAACAGTATAGTCATGGATGAGAAGCTGAAACACACGCTGGCGCAGCAGCAAATCTATACAAGAAACGGAAAAAGTCAACTAGTGTGGGCACGAAAAACCAGGTTGAATTGTTCCTTGTCATTTTAGAAAATGGCTAAATACCACCTTATATCATAATATAATATAATATATAGCAGAACTTTACCAGACAAAAGCCAGGACAATTTGTTGTAGAATACATGCAATCTCGTTTAGAGCGTAGACCCTTGGCCAGAATCGAATAAGTGGGATTTTATTGCACTGATAAAAATCTGGGCTCAAGGATGAAAACATTTCATTCGATTATAGATAGTTATGATGAAATCGTAACTATCGAAAGTTATGATAGTTGTGGCCATAGAAATAATAGACATAGAATGCGTGCTCCTATCTCTTCTCAGTAAAAATTTTGTCTCCAGAAAATGGCGGATTTATAAGGGCATTTTTGCTAGACCCAGACTCCTGCGGCAAGGAAATTCGCGCGGTTGCAGGGGTGCGAATTGGTTTTTTTTTCAACAAAGTTTGCAAAAACAATTATATCGAGACTTGAAGTGGAAAAAAAACTTTTAAAGACCCTTGGCCAGAATCCAATAAGTGGGATTTTATTGCATTGATAAAATCTGGGCCCAAGGATGAAAACATTTCATTCGATTATAGATAGTTATGATGAAATCGTAACTATCAAAAGCTATGATAGTTGTGGCCATAGAAATAATAGACATAGAATGCGTGCTCCTATCTCTTATCAGTAAAAATTTTGTCTCCAGAAAATGGCGGATTTATAAGGGCATTTTTGCTAGTCCCCAGACTCCTGCGGCAAGGAAATTCGCGCGGTTGTAGGAGTGCGAATTGGGTTTTTTTCAACAAAGTTTGCAAAAACAATTATATCGAGATTTGAAGTGGAAAAAAGCTTTTAAAGGAGAAAACCCCATTCCCGTGGGTTTTTTTACGAAAAGCAATAGTTGTGAACAGAATATATACAGAAATCGTCGTTTGAAAATACATTTTCAACGTGTAAGCCAAAACAAAACACGAAAAATCAAGACAAACTAAAACTCAATAGGTATTGTTTTAAAAAATATATTTCAACCGTTTTATAATATAAATGGAGTTCAATAATCTTTTTAAACTTACACAACTACTTTTTATTTTTTTCTATACATTGCTTGATTATATTTTTTTTACGTTGCTTGAGCTTGAGATAACGCTTTTGAAACCACAGTTTTCAACGATTATTCAGGCGATTTACAGTTTATCGACAACTAAATATTTTTGTTTCAAAAACATGAAAACACTTCGTTTAGATTGAAGAAAAACGAAACCCGACAAAGAATCAACTATGATTTCGTAATTTAATAAAATATTAGCAAAGCAGTTACGTTCAGAGCAGGCAAACATTTTTATGAGTAAATTATATTTTAATACGCGAAACTACTTTGTTTTTACACGGCTGCACGATTTTCACCTTTTTTTGTCAGTAACTGCACAGTCGTTTGCTTCGAGCCTTTAAAGAACTTAATGTTTCAAAATATATCCCCAAACTACAAATTAGACAGCAAGACAAAACCTTTTGACGATGATTATACTTTGTAGTTTGCACTCCTATGCTCAAATTCAACATGGCGGATTTATAAGGGCATTTTTGTTTTCAATTTGGACACCGGTCACGCGACCAAGCACGCATTCTAGATCTAATATTACTATGATTGCGGCGTATTTTTCGGGCTATAATGAAAAATTAGCGGACTAAAATGAGAATCACCGAGATCGACCGCTCGTCTGCCAATCAGATTTCGTTATTATTATTACTGAAGAATACTGGCTATACTCATGTTTTAAGTTTGTACTTACCAATATCCTTGATCTTTTCCTTCATGTCGTTATGCATTCCATCCTTCCAATTGGGCCACACTCTATTAAAATAATGTTCCTCCCATTCTAAACATGATATATTAAATAAAAATATATTAAAATGGGCATAGTCATCAAATAGTTGAATGTTTCGTAATTAAAAGTAAATTTCATTCATCACGGATATTATTAAAGTGGCACCCGAGTCAAAATTTCTATTTTCTTAAATTGAACGAAAATGCTCTTAATAGCAACTTGTTTTGAAGCTTTTTGTTCCTATGCTTAGTTCTTGAGATATTTCATTTTGTTTGTAACCATGTGACGTCATTTACTCAATTGCATATACTGTATAATGAGATATAAGTAATTGTTGTGTATCTTTAAAATATTTAATCAAAATCTTTCCAAAGATGTGGCACGTTTGTTAATTTAACCTACATATTTCAGCATACTGTTTTTTAAAAAATCCAGCAAAATTCAAAAATTGCAAAGATACACAACAATTATTGATATCTCATTATATCTGCGATTGAGTAAATGACGTCACATGGTTACAAACAAAATGAAATATCTCAAGAACTAAACATGCATGGAAACAAAAATCTTCAAAACAAGTTACTATATATATACAGTTTTAAAAGCATTTTCGTTTAAGAAAATAAAAATTTTGACCCAAGCGCCATTTTAACCTTTATTGATTATATGTTTTGTCGTGACATTCTCTTTTTCCCGAGCCACGCTCGGATCGCGCATGGCGAAGTTAATAGAGAGGTTAAGATACACCGGTTTCGGTGTACGGGTATGAGTAGTGTCATCTTGTTTTACTGATGTCTGTAATTCGATCATACTTTTTCTGTTTTCTTGCAATAGACAATGATATAATGCGAAAAATGTGCACCTTAATTACGAGTAAAGGTACAGACATCGACGAAAATATTGCTAACCAAAATCACGCTACCCATACACGTACACCGAAACCGGGGTATCTTAACCTCTCTAATAGGGTATAATTCCGGTCCGCAATTTACAGCGGGGAAAAACGATATCGGACTGAAAAGTCTATCATGCATGCATTGATACATATCGTTGAGCTCACTAATACAGGGGACATATTGTTGTTGACAAAACTATTAAGGTCTAATCCACCCGTCAGCTACATTTTCTTTTCCTGCTTCATGCTTCTGTTTGATTTGAATGTTCGAACTTAAATTTGCCGCCACTTTATAGTTTCCGCCACTTTCTAGTTTCTGCACATGCATGGACAGTCATGTTTTTGTGGTGTTCATCTATTAAATTATTCAGAAAGATTTGGACTTAGATATGTTTCACTTTTTACTGTTATGCATGCCGTATGCTTGTGCGTACAAATGGCTCAAGGATTGTGATAAAAAATATCGTTAAAACAAGTGAATAAAGATACTGACGTTCTTCCATCCAATATTTATCATTTATAGATCCGGAGTGGGGGAAATACGGCGGAATATTACCCAGTTGCCCTAATATTTCGCCGAATCCTCCGACCGGACGGCCTATAAATTATATTTTATACCGAACGTTAAACAACGCACAAAATAAATTTGAATGAATGAACTCGTTGAATACTAAAACGTTTCCAATACAACCTATTTGAACCTGCATCATTTGGATTATTGAAGATAACATTCTCCTAATATGAAACGTCGTGATGACGTGAAGTTCCAGATTGAAAGGCGTAGCCTACTAAATTGATTTGAATTTATTTAATCAACATGAATTTGAAATTATTCCTTGGTAGATTTTGTTAGTCTTTTGAGGCAAATATTTTAGCACATACAAAGCTTCTGGGGATTTAGCAATTACAAAACATTATTCATATCATTGTTTCCGTAATGTATTCGTGTTCCATATAGGTGATGGTAAGAATTTTCGGTTTAAGAGAATTGTGCTGCACATACATTATTTTAATTACATTTTCACAAATGTTTGTTCAAGTTAAAATATCAATAGGTCAGTCAATACTGCACAAAAATATTGCGCATCAAAGCATCATTGCGCGCTGAATTATACTTTAATAAAACTTAATTGAGTGTGATATGTGGCTATTCTGTCTTTATAACACATTTTTAAACCGAGCAGTGTAACTTTTTGTGAGACTGTAAAAAAGAAAAAAAATTAGCAGTAAAGCACATACCGTTGGATTTTTCTGTTGGAAAACCATAAATATGGGTTAACCCATTGGCATCGTAGTTTGGAAACGCTTTGATAGCAAGGCTAAACTCCTTAATATAAGCATCTGTTAAAAAGTGCGGTCTTTCGGTTGTACCAGCAAGATTGCCAGGCAATCTCATAGCTCCAGCTAAAAGATAAAAACGTATTAATTTAATTAACTATGACATTTTAATATACGTTTGTCATACCCATGCAAACGCGTGTTCTGATTGGCTGGTTGACCAGTAAATCTGACGCAATGTTTACTAGCAGACTATAATAGATAATCGGATTTATGAAATGAATGATCTAGCAAACTTGCTTTCAAACTCGAAATATTACTTCAAAACCATAGACAATCCGGAAGACAAGTGTTCAAAACGTATGCTAAAGCTCTAATGTTGTTGATATGCCATCCGTACATGATACGATTTTATCCATATATATATATAGAGACCTAGATTGCCGACTGTAATGTAATCTTATAACAGGTGCGCGCGCCTGTTATAAGATTATCCAAGATGGCGACTCAACCGGGAAAAAGACATGGACATTCTACAGGGAATGGATAGTCTTCGCATTTTATGACGTCCCACTGCTTAGAATTCCGTTCGATCAGGGGTTTTTGAAAATACCTAGTTATTTTGAAGGTTTTGGATGAAAATTAGACAACTTGAGGTGAACTAACGTTAAAAATATCCATCGCTAAATGTTGTCTGAAATGGTCACTTCGTCGGTTCCAGCCATTTGTGGCCGAAACGAAAGCTTTAGGTTAGCTTTGCTTTATAGGACGCTTTTTTTCTCATAGAACTCTGTTAGAAATAAGCATTTACAAAAGGATGGAAAATATTTTGAAATTAAAATTATTTTTCGCTCGATTTACATGGTCATAATATTTATTATAAAGACTGTTGTAACACTGTTATGACTTTCACTTGATTGAAAGCTTATATGGCTTCAATTGCAAAATAATGATGGAGTGGTCAATTTCAACAGCCATTTGAAAGTGATTATGCTGGAACTTTGTGATTTATATACTGTATAGTATCTCACATAAATGATTTAGGATGGTGGGTAAACTGGCTGGACAAAATATTGGAGTGCATAAATAATTGTAGGCAAGCACTTCTCCAATACTTTAGGTTTAAAAATTATGTTCACTATAAATATACATTGAAGAATTGTACAATAGATACAGTTGAAATTTTGAAAACACAGTGACCAATTCAGCTGGATGTATTTCACAGAAGGAGCAGTATGGCCATATGAAGTGTTTCAGGAAAAACTGCACTAGCCAACATATCATTAAATACTATTTTTCTAATACGTATACAATGTTTGATCAAACTGATATGTCGTGTTTAAATATGATATTACACGATATTATACCTCACAATGAGCTTGTCCAATCAGAGAACTAAATTTGTACCACATGACCATGGTATTTTTCAGCGAATACTATGACCTAGGCAATTTCAACCCTGGGTGTTTTACCCGGGGCCATGGTATTCGACTTCGAATACCACGCTTGAGCGGGAAATTCGACTTTTTTAAATGCAAAGTTATCAAAAGTTGTGTTTTGAAATTAAAAGTTAATTGAATGGCATTTGTTTTCTACTTATTTTTGAAAGGTTCGGTATAATATACCATTTATAGACCTTTCACTAATACCCCTCGTTTCAGGTCTATAACTGATAAATATAAAACAGACCCCCTGCGTTAATATTAACCCCAATGACCATTGTACAAGCTGTGATTATATAAACAACAACATATTTGATTCTATATGCGTTGGAAATGACTTCGACCTGATAAAACATATTAAAATAAATACTTTACTAAACACTAAGAATTTATACACAACTCTATACAGTATGATAAATCTTGTGAGTTATGCACTTAGCTTTTGTCTATGGACGGTTCGTATTTCAATGATAAGAGGAACCACACCCACAGAGCAACAGAGGATCGTGCTTACGGTCTCGCACATAGTGGTTAGCTGCGCATGCGCGGTTACCCACAAAAAACTATTCCTACTGCTGGCATAAACATTGCCGTAATATTCTTTTGAAATCATTATGTTTTGCATCATATACATCTCAGATTGTATGTTAGTTTTTCTTCTGATAAAAGTCATGTTTTTATTGTGCTATACGGTGTCGATCACACGCTGTATTGTACTGATTAATTTAAAACTTGTCTAGTGAAAAGTGTATTCTTGATAAAAAGAATACCACTATAATATTTTAGTTTTCGGACAACCGGTCTCATTTGAGCTGCCCCTGACTTTAATTAACCACGTACACTTTACCTTCGCCAAATAAACCAGGTGCAAGACCTGATTCCGGGCCGTAAGTGAACAGCCTTCCACCATAACGGTCAGTTTGCTCCAGAATAATCACTGAAAGCCCTGCTTTCTTCAATTCATACGCGGCAGAGAGACCTGCCATACCTGCCCCAACGACAATGACGTCATAATCATACGTGACATCTTTAGGTGATTTAAGAGAGGCACTTTCTGGAGGAGGAGGGCGAGGTTCATCATCACCATATTCTAAATAAGCCGCCTCTAACCCATCTGACTGAATTAGAAGCAGAAAGTCCTTTAGATAGTCGCTCTGCTGAATAACTTCACTTCCTTCTAGAATTCGCGTCTTCAGTGGCTTCGCTTTTGCCCAAAAGCGCCTATGGTCTAACATGTACGACGTTGCCATCTTGTTGTTGCTAAATAAATGTATAAGAAGAGCATAAAAGCTATTACGTTCTTATAACATGGCATTGTTATACCATGTTATTTAATATATTCAATACTATATATCACTGTTATAATTATAAGAGGAAGATCTCGGGTAACCTTCCTCGCATGAGTAAGAAAATACTTATAAAAATCAAAGAACCACGGGAAACACCTAGTACCACAAACCACGCAAACAAGACATGGTCTTGTGGTTGATAAACACTGCTACAACTTGCTTTAACAAACATATTGCGTAGAGGAAATTAGTTATAGTTATAGATTTTTTCCTCTAAATCCTTTATTGAAAAAGCTGAGCACAACTTGAGAGTGAGGAGAGAGTGAAGTGAGAAGAGCTATTTAGGCTAAAATACTTCATAGGCCATGCAACAAAGGCTGACGTATATAATTAAAAGGCTAGATAGTTAAGCCTCGTCAGTAACCTAAAGAACATTGGAATATTGTGAAATTATTAAAGAAGACGGATTATGAAGTATAAAGAAAAAAGATTCGAAGTTGTGTTCAGCTCAGACGAATAGAGAGATAAGTTGCTCTCATGGGCGTGGGGACGAGAAAAAAGGGGGGTCGCCAGCCCCCCCTTCCCCCATCTCCTTTCCGACCAATTTTGTAATTTTTCTAAAACTGAGGAGAAACTGTGGTGGGGGAAGCGTTTCCTTTGTGACATAAAATTCACTAAATCTATAGTTTTCAGATTAACATAAAAATGTGGCAATTGACACACCAGGCGGATAAAACACCAGGCGGTTTAAAGATAAAGAGCAGTTCTCAGCAAATAACTTTAAAGCCAAACATAATAAAAGTAAAAATGTATTAGCTAACGTTTCGATGTTTAAAACACAACATCTTCAGATCAATCTAAATGAATTTACAGGGTATGGTATATATATTTACACAATAGTGGTTTAATATTACAAAAACGGTTACATAGTTTGAAAGAAAAAATGAATAGAAAGAAAGGAAAACAACTTATCAGTAACTAGTTAATAAGTAAAGATTAATGTTAAGTGCATGCATGGTTAATATAGTTAAGGTTAATATTACATAACTAAAATAACTCGAGAAGGGTAGATCTAATATTAGCATTAAGGACAGGGTTAAGTTGAGGAATTAATTAATTTGTTAATTTCTTAACCCTGTCCTTAATGCTAATATTAGATCTACCCCTCTCGAGTTATTTTAGTTATGTAATATTAACCTTGACTATACTAAACTTATTAACTAGTTACTGATCAGTTGTTTTCCTTTCTTTCTATTCGTTCAAACTATGTAACCGTTTTTGTAATATTAAACCACTATTTTGTAAATATATATACCATACCTTACACGCCCTGGTTATACACAACTCGATCTGTTAACTTACAGAGCAACTTGGCCTACCTATAATCTTCAAACTAAAATAAACCACCAATTTAGCACATTGACGTACAATGTTGGACATTCTTCGCCTACGGTACCGAATTTCCAAACAATATGTTTATCGTGTGCATAATAGGAATCCGATAGCATAAATGATAATGTTTATTTACTTTTTAAGTTAATTGCTGGCAAGCGTAGCGAGATAACACAACTATTCTTGCGGGTTAGCTGTCTCTTTTGCTCTCGCCAGTCCTGTTGAACAAGTTATGTTTAATGTATGGTCAACAATCTGAATTTTTGTATGTCGGATGTCTCACCATTTAGGACTTTTTGTGACGTAGTTGAAAGTTGTAAAATTACATACTCCAGATTGTCCACGGAGAAGATCTGACTCTCTGAATACCCTGTTTGAAAGTTGCAAATCTCAATAGGCTATAACATTTAGCGCATTTTCTCAAGCATTGCTGCAAGGTACTGCATGCTGCAAATATTATATGAATCTTGTGATATTTGCTTAATCCAATTAAAATATGTGGTTCGGTCAACGTGACAACGTCTATCAAAATTTTTCTTGGTAGAGTTGATATCTGTTTTCTTTTATGTTATATATATTTATAGCGCATGTTTTAAAACGCGCTGTTATTTAGATGTAGGTTAAAAGCCGCGGGTATCGGTATCCGAAGGCTCGAAGTATTTACAGTTTAATAAAAACCGATACCCGCGGCTTTTAACTTGTTTATATACTGAGTCATCAGTCATCAGACCATATTCTTTTGTATTTCGGAGGTTTTCATTATTAAAAATTCAAGCTATCAATTCAATGAGAGGGGTTGCGGTTGTGGGACGAAATAAGGTGTAACATGCGCATTACATCATAGCATACGATTTAATGTGGTTAAGCATGCGCAGTATGAAAACATAGAAATCAAGTAAACATGGCGGACAGGAAGCAAGCCACCAAGCGCGCTGCGCAAAATTTAAATATCACCAACCCATGTACGCCTTTAAAAGCAGTCCAAACTAAAATTCCTAAACCCAACACACCAGAGAGAAGAATGGAAGAAAAAGAAGGAGAAAAAGAAGTAGATATGCGCCAAATTCAACAAATGTTCTCGACTATGATGACGAAACTTGAGAAGCTTGACGGAATAGAAGCAGACATGAAAGAGATAAAACATTCCTTGGAATACGCGCATGCTGAAATAGCAGATTTAAAACAGCAAAATGAAACAAACAAAGTAAATCAAGAACAAACAAGAGAAAGAATAGGAAAACTGGAGCAAGACAACGCCACATTGCGTAACAAAATAGTAGACCTACAAGCGAGATCCATGCGCGACAATCTACTGTTCTTTAATATACCTGAACGCGACCAAGAAAATACCACCGAAATCATTCATGAACTACTCGAAACGAAAATGGAAATACGCGACGCACGGAATAAAGTCAAGATTGACCGGTCCCACCGAATTGGAAGAAAAAGAGAGGGAAATCGCAAACCACGTCCAATCGTAGTCAAGTTCAATTATTATCAAGACCGAGAACATGTGCGGATAAACGCGAAGAAATTTAAAGGAACGAATATCGGGGTATCTGAACAGTTCCCTGAAGAAATTGAAAGCGTAAGAAAGACATTATATCCCGAACTGAAAAAAGCTAAAGCCGAAGGTAAAAGGGCCAAAATAGTAAGAGATAAATTAATAATTGAAGGGCAAGTCTTTTACAATAGGTCTTAAAAGTTTGAAACCTGATAGTCTTAATATCATAGTCTATATTTTACTAACTAAACACCATTTTATAGTCTATTTCTTACTTCAAATTATCAATTATTGTACCATAAACCTTCCCAATGACCACACTTAACAATCAGCACAAGAAGAAATGTTCTTCTTGCTTCAAAACTATCCAAAAAACACAAAAGTCTATTGAATGTTTAACATGTAGCAAATGGTTTCATGCTGTGCCTGCATGCACAAAGTCATTCAACTCCAGCATAGATAACACTACAATTGATTTGTGTCAACATTGCTTAGCCAATTCGTTACCTTTTCAATCACTCGATGATTTAGATTACGAATTTACTGTCTCAAACGGAATCAATATCAGTGAAGAAGAAATGGATAGACTAATGCATTTGAAATTCAACCCTTTCGACACGAGTAATAATATTGCGCTATCTGAAAACAACGCAAATCTCGATAAATCGTCAAAAATAAACTGTGAATATTATCTACCAAATGATTTTAAAAAACAAATAAATAATGAAAATCTCAATAACTTTTCGATGATGCACTTAAACATTAGAAGCATAACTAATAAATTTGACTCTTTTAAACAATTAATATATTCATTGAATAAACCGTTTCAGATAATTGGTTTAACTGAAACTTGGCTAAAAGAAACTAACGAAGATCTATTTAAACTAGAAAATTATGATTTTGTAAATGTAAACAGGTCAACTAAAAGTGGTGGAGGAGTTGGCATTTATGTCGCAAATGAATTGAAATACAAAATACGCTTCGATTTAAACACAATTACTGAAAATGTAATTGAATCCGTTTTCATTGAAATTATGACAGCTGTAGGTAAAAATATAATAATAGGTGTAATATATAGACCACCAAATAACAAATTTGACTCATTTGAAACTAAAATGAATCAAATACTAGGAAAGATAGACAAAGAAAACAAATTATGCTATCTTATGGGAGATTTCAATATTGATCTACTAAAATCAGAATCTTGTGATTACAGTATCAGATTTCTAGAACAACTATTCACATCATCATATATCCCACTTGTACTAAGACCAACAAGAATCACTCAGCATACGGCTACACTAATTGACAATATTTTCACCAATGACACGGAAATTATAGAATCAAGCAAAAATGGGATAATTTTTTGCGATATCTCAGATCATTTACCAATAGTTCATGTACGAAATTCAAAAAATTACCATAAAAAAACTTCAAAAACTGAATTTTCTTGTAAAAGAATTATCAATGATGCCAATGTTGAATCATTTACTAATACAATTAAGAATATATCATGGGAAAATGTACTTTCTGAAAACAACACGACAGAGTCCTACAACAAATTTTTCAACTTATTTTCAATAGCTTATGGAAAAAACTTTCCATTGACAAAGAAAGTTACGAAAAGAAAGATTGACAAAACTCGAAGTCCATGGATGACAAGATGTATTGCAAAATCAGTTAAGCAAAAGAACAAATTATATAAAAAATACCTCCAATATCCTACAGGAAAAAACGAAAAAATATACAAAAAATATAAAAATAAATTAAATCATGTGATAAAAGTGGCAAAAAAGAAATATTATGAAGAACAGTTAATAAATTATAAACATGATACAAAGGTATTATGGAAAACATTAAATGAAATTATGAACCGAAATAAGACAAATAGAATGTTACCAAAAGAATTTAATGGAAATAGCCCTGGAGAAAAGATTACTGATCCAAACACAATAGCAAATAGATTCAATGACTATTTTGTAAATATTGGCCCAGGACTAGCAAAAAAACTCCCGAATTCCAAAACAACCTTTGATAAATATCTCACTAATAACTGTAAAAATAGCTTCTTTATTAATCCAATAACTAAATATGAATTAGAAAATGAGATAAACAATTTGAATGCCAAAAAAAGCCCTGGCTATGACGGTATAAGCTCACAGGTAATCAAAGCGATTGCTACAGAAATTTCTGAACCACTTTCACACATATTTAACTTGACTTTTCTTTCTGGAACTATTCCTGATGATCTAAAAATAGCTCTAGTTACCCCTATATTCAAAGCAAACGAAAACAATGAATTTAAGAATTATAGGCCCATATCTGTTCTCACTAGTTTTTCTAAATTGTTAGAAAAGCTTATGTATAAGAGATTAATTAACCACATAGAAAAAAATAACATATTAACACAGCATCAGTATGGTTTTAGGGAAAATAGATCCACTGAGCTTGCAATCATAGAACTTGTTGACAGAGTTACTAAAGCAATCGATAGAGGAGAATACACGATAGGTATTTTCCTCGACTTGTCAAAAGCCTTTGACACAATTGATCACAAGATATTGATTCAAAAACTTGATCACTATGGTATACGGGGAATAACTCAATTATGGTTTCAAGATTACTTAAAGAATAGAAAACAAATTGTTAAATACAACCAAATTAAATCAAAAGAAATGGTAATTAAGAGTGGTGTCCCACAGGGATCTATTCTTGGACCAATTCTATTTCTGCTTTATATAAATGATATTGAAAATTGCAGCAAATTAATTTCATTTATATTATTTGCAGATGACACTAATATATTTTATAGTAACAAGTGTCTAAAGACACTTAGTAATATTATACAAACAGAAATTGATGAAGTTGCTGAATGGTTAAATGTGAATAAATTATCTCTAAATACTACAAAAACAAAAATAATTTTATTCAGATCTCCAAATAAAAAACCAAGTCAAACCATTAAAATTAACATAAATGGTAAAAATATTGAACAAGTTAAAAGTACAACCTTCCTCGGTATTATCATTGACGAATGTTTGACCTGGAAAGAGCATATAGCTAAGGTAGCAAAGAAAATAATTAGAGCTGCTGGTATAATAGCTAAAATACGACATTTCATAAATCGAAATACTCTAAAACTTATATATTATGCATTAGTATATCCATATTTGATATACGGCAACTTAACATGGGGTAATACTTATAAAAGTCGAATCCAAAAAAATAATGAACATACAAAAAAAAATTGTATGTCTAATGACTTTCAAGTCTTATTTAGAACACAGTGAGCCAATTTTCAAAGATTTAAATATCCTAGACATTTTCAAAATCAATGACTATTTAACTGCCCTATTTATGTTTCGATACCACCACCTTAACAATTTACCAGATTTCTTTAAAAATTATTTTGTAACAAACAACCAAATTCATGAACATAACACGAGAAATGCATCAAAACTTCACAAATGTTATAAAAGAACAAATTATGTAAAACACACTCTCTCAAATAAAGGAGTTGATGTATGGAATTCGTTAGAAACAAAACTTAATGAAGTAAACTCCTATAACACCTTTAAAAAGAAAATTAAACAACATTTTTTGCTATACACAATTACCAATATATAAAACATACTTCTCTAATGTATATAATGACATATACTTTAGTCTATTGTAGCCCAACATTGACATTGTAAAATTAAATGCATCTACAACATTACTATTAATTTATATAATACGAACATTCCCACTTCTTTTTCTCTCTTGTAAATATAGTGTATATACTTCAAAACTTTCTGATTTTACATATTATGTATTGATTGACTGTAAATAATCGATTATGTGATAAAACGAACAGTAACTAGAGACCTAAAATAAAAAGTCTATGAAGATTTCTAGTAGGTCTCTAGCCCAAAATCTTCAAATTATTGTAATATATTTTAAGTAGATTTTTATACATGGGAAAATAAATAAAAAAAAAAGTTTCTTGTGGTTTAGTTTGAATAGATATGCAATTTTTAGGATTATGGCCAGAGGGGCGGTAGCTTGAACATGGGTCAGTTCTGACTGGGTTTGATACTTGGTAAAATTTTTGTGCCTTTCGTTTTGGCTCAAAATGCACTATACGCGTGGTAATGAACGATGGTATTGTTTATAGTCATGACATTGTGTTTACACAGCCCATGAAGTCATGCAAATAATGTATTTTGTGGCATAAATTAGCATACGCGCTTATTTTCAAAATGGTGGACAACTGTTGAACTTTTTATCAAATTTTCTCAACAACTAAACGCGACAAACCGGCCAAAATACGATGTTCCGTAAGTATACCTAATTGATATAAGTAATGACAATCTTGGTTGCCAATGTCCTTTAATTTAGTTTAAATACAATTTATATTAATCAGGCTTCATCTAGGCCTCGCGAACCGCGCGCGGGATCTTCGTAGTTCTGTAAAAATATTGGAACGAGTCGCGAGGGGTTTTTCCGGCTTTTATCTGCAAATAAAGCTAGAGTTTTTCAGTATAATCTTAATTCCCGAACCAACGGCGTGGAGCACCGTTCCGGGCGTAAGCCCGGGACGAGGGTACTAATTCTGTTCGGCTATTTACACCCGGGGAAAGGAGCGCACTGGCGAAGTCTACACACTGAGCTATACTATATTATTGGAGGACCTGCTCGGCATCAAACAGTGAAGCCGAAAACATGGCGGATCTTACGCCATTTTCATGACAACACTTACTTTATTTTCATGGTAACTGCCACTGACCAACCGCGATCCTAACCTTCCAACGATATCCTTAACCCCCCTGGTTTTTGGCAAATATTACGATATAGATATAAAGTTTTCTGTTGTTTTTGAGCTAAAAAATCTTAATATTTCCCTCGAACATTACTTGTTTTAATACGCGGAGCGAGGGTCTGATTAATTCTTTCAGGTATTAAGATTCACGAAACTTTTTCTTATAACTTTCTAGACGACTAGAGTCACTAGCTAGACCCTTCATATTATGTCAAAAACTCATCCTAATATATACAGCAAATAATTCAATAGGGGATATAAAAGTATTGTTAACGATTAAACATTGTGTACATGAAATTATGTTGTTTTGTGTCAGCACTGGCCTTTGTGGTTTTATTGCCAGACTCACAGACTGCCAGTTTTTAATTTATTCTAAAAATAATTTGTGGTTGCATGTTTACATGTTCATATATTTTAAAACGTTTATTAAATTTGTTGTAAAATTTATATACTTGCCCATCACAGTGCAGAATTAGTATATATAGATAAACACAAGACCAGAGAGAGTGGAGCCGTAGAGGAGGCCCACCGACATGTGACATTATGCATGTGCCTGTCAGCTGATCGATGAGCCCTAAAGACTGTCTTTATTATTTTATTCTGTCTGTCTAATGCCAGACGATTTTAAGGGGATTGAGACAGCTCCCTGCTGCCACACAGTGGGTTAATTACACTATCTGCAAATGAGCAGCCCCTGAGATATATAGTCAGCCCACTAAGCTGCAATAAATCCTGGCTACTTCCTTATTTTACTCAATCTGTGAAATTAAATCCAGATGTTTTACTCATCAAGGGAAGAGTCTTAAAAATAGATATCATTTTGCCATTGTCTGTTCAGAACCATATAAAACTATATAGTTTTACACAGTATGATGTCATAGTTACATGGCAAGAACAAAAATGTTGCCCACAAGCTGCCGGGATTTAAGTGAGTCACCGATACACTAATCATGAGGTAAATTTGGAATGCTACAACATTTCTAACAAGGGCGGATTTTCATTTATTTAAAAGGAGGGGTAGAAAAAATTCTGGTTGGGTGCAAGCGGCACCACTCAGTGAGCTTTGGCAGGGGTTAGGTGTTTGGGTTAAAGCCTTTCACACAAAATAGGAGGGTTGAAGCAGAATTTTGGTGGGGTTGAACACTTTATTAGAGGGGTTTAACCCCCCCCCCCCCTCCCAAGTAAATCCGCCCATAATTTCTAACATTGGGGGTAGTGTTGTCCGATTGGCCATGAACACGGCCTGTGAGAAATTGAAGAAATTTGCTCATAATAGTTAAAGTTTGACATATTTTAGCAGTTAATTAGGAATGTAATTGCATTGCTGAATATTGAAACATGACACTTAATTTTGAAGCTCAGGTCAATGGTTTCTCCAAGGATTTCTCTAAGGTTTCTTACTGGCAAGGGTCCAACCCAACTAGCTTCTTTTGAGACTACACATATAACACATGTTCTGGAACAAATTATCCGCGGTTACCTGTGCGGGTCAGATGACAAGAAATGGTCAAATCATGTTTTCAATTATAACAACATAGCTACATTTAGTAACGTACAAACATACTTTTATAGGTTCGAATTTCAGGGCCGCGGCACAGTTCATGTACATCTTTTAGTTTGGCTGAAGGATATTAAACGTATCCGCCTTAAACTTCTTCGGACGGATATTCCTTGGGCCGATCCACAGTTGTCATATAAATTGGCTATTGCGAGGTTTTATTTAGGTAGTTAATCGTTACAACAATGTTAAATAACCATCGGCTCTTAATATCTGCCTCTTGTAGTAGTTTTCAAAAGTTCACTTCACTGAGAATGTAGATGTAGATAAAACTTTATTTAAACACGCTATAACCCCTTCAGCATTTGCTGATTTCCAAGAGGGGCGTGATGATAAAATATATACAATAGTTATACACTTACATATTAAATTTTACAATTAGTTAAATCATGGTTAAATAAAGATATAATAATAGATTTAAGACTGCAGGCTAGTATCAGAAATCAACGAATTGAATAGATTTAATGAATTTGCGCTTCTTAACTCGCAAGGTAAGCTATTCCAGAGTTTTGCTCCACTATACCGGATGCTATTTTTCAAGTATTCTGTTTTTGGTTTTGGTAAGTAAAACTTGAAATCATGGTCTCTTAAATTGTAATTATGTTGAGGAGCAGATGAGTCTTCAAAGATATCGGTTAAAACAGGTGGTGCTTACGCATGAGCAATTTTGTACATAAACTTGCCCCTAAAGATTAATCTGCGTTCTTTTAACGTTTTCAATTTCAATTCAGACAAAGCGGCTTCAGACTGACCATGCTCATTTCTATATCCTAAGATGACCCTTGCTGCCCTATTTTGGAGTACTTGTAATCGATTTGTAAGCGTGGTACCAATTGGATCCCACACAAGATAGCAATAGTCAAAATACGGTTGAACCAGAGCATAATAGACGGATAGGAGAGTGAGACGGTT